GCCCCGAGCGCCCTTGCCTCTCCGGGGGCGGCACGGGACACAGGGGTTGGCACGGCATCGCTTCGCTCACTGTTCAGCCCAAGGGTGGAACAGAGCGAGGGGCAGCAGCACCAGAGACACCATAATTCAGAGGGACCGGGACCCCAAGACAGGCCTCGCGCCCTCCTAGCTGGCTGGCCGAAGCCGGGGTGAGGCGGAAGATGCCCGTCCTCATCCACACAAGCAGTACTTCCGGGGCACCGGATTGTCAGCAGCAGCATTTCCGGGGTATTGGGGGCGGGTCTACCAGCAACAGTACTTCCGGGGCACTGGGGTCGACCCCTGAGCCCAGAGAGGTGGGCCAGCTCGGCAGAACCAAGGGGAAGCTTGCTTTGGAAACATCAAGCCAGGGTCTCTCGAAAGACAGGGCAACTCCGGCTCTGCTGCCTGGCTGGGGGCTCCCGAAGTGAGAGGAGGGTGGCCGGGCTCGCTCATCAGCGAGGACCCTGAGCACCTCCGCCCTACCGCGGTCCTTCGGGAGCAGCCCGGCAGGCCCGTAACTCGGCCGGCCCGGAAGGAACGCGCCCGCCTCTTCAAGGCCTCCTGGGGCCGGCGGGGTCCGGCTGACTCAGCTCCGACTGGTCCAGGAGCTCGAAGTCATCGCCCTCGGCGTCGGTGTCCAGGTCGGAGCTGGGCGCCCGCAGCAGGCCGCCGGCTGCTCTCCGGGGTGGGGGTCCCGGCTGGACGGCGCCCGACAGGGCCATCTGGAGCACACCCCGCGAGACCAGGCTGGCCAGGCTGCCGCTGAGGTCGGGCCCCGCGGGCAGCGCGCCCAGCAGGAGCTCGGGCAGCGCGGCCTCCTCCCTGCTGGCCGGGGGCGCCTGCGCGCCCGGCGGGGACCGGTACACCAGGCTGGGCATCCCGATGCTGGCGTCATCCTCGTCGTCCAGGCCGGCGGGGTCCACGTTAATGGAAGGAAAGTCTGGAAGGTCCCTGGCAAAGGACTCCTCCGGGTCGCTGTGGCCGTCTAGGTCTGGGGGAACACAGGTGTCTGAAACGTGGCCCTAAGAAGCCAGCCCACGTCTTTCGCGCCTTCCTACAGAGCCCCGGGCCCAGCTCCTCCCACTCCCTCGACGGCTGCGCCCGCGCTCCCGCCCTCTTGCAGGGTATCCCGACCGTGCTCAGGCGGCGGCACCGACACCCTGAGGGTCCACACCTTCGGAGCCCTCCGTCAGGGGTGTCTGGCCTCTGGAGAGGTTGAAGGTGCCATTGTCCGTGCAGGAGACCTCGGCGTCAGAGTGCTCCGAGTCCGTGATCGCCAGCTCCCTGGCTACTGCGGAGTCGTCCAGCTGGAGACCGAGAGCCCGCGGGCGAACTGAGAACTTAAGGAAGCAGCCGCTTCCTTTTCAGCACACCACCACCCTTTTCCGAGGGGGCAGGAGGCGGCAGAGCCCACACTGAGGGAGCAGCGGGGCGCTCCGCATATCTGGGGGGAACCAGCCGCGAGCAGGGCGCTGGTCATCGAGCTCAGCACGGTCTGGACAGAGCCCCGGTGCGACACCAGCACCTCTCCGAGAGAGCACCGACAGCAGGCAGGGAGGGGAGAAGGCGCAGTGCAGAGCTACCTGAGGGCAGAAGGCGGCTAGCTCCTCCTCACTGTCGCTGTGGTCATCCCCCGCGTGTTCTGGGTGCAGAGCTCTACAGCGCACTGTGGGGAGACCAGGTGGCTGTGACGCCTCCCCTTGGGGCCATCCTCCCTCCCACGCACCCAGGACACGGGAAGAGTGGCCCGGCAGGAGCCATCTCCCCAGCACCCTCATGCACCACAACCCTGCTGCCCCACTGCCACCCAGCATCTACAGAGGGCCATCCAGGCCTCAGGAGGCCAGGCCTGACCAAATACCCAGCTGGCAGAATGGAGAGGCCACCTGCTGCCAGGGATCCTGTGGGGTCGGAGCTCAGACTGCACTTTTGGCCTCTGAGCGGGGAGAGAAGAGGGTCACTGCCTACGTCTAGCCGCATCCACGGAGCAGCCGGCCCAGGGATTGGACGCGTGCACAGGCCTTGTCAACCTCAGCTGACACTTAGGGATGAGGTGGAAGTCTGCCTTGCGTTCCTCGGGCGCTGGAATGGGGCCTGCACCCTCCCTCTGGGGGCCGCTCTGCAGACACTCACACTGCCGTGCTCTCTGCCGCGACATCATGTAGCCGCGCACGCTGAAGTCCAGCCGCCGCAGAGCCGGCTTCAGCCGCACGGAGGCTCGGTCCAACAGGCGGTGGTACATGACGAGAGGCCACGTCAGCACCATGACAACTGAGAGCGGGAGGGGCACACGGCACGTGGAGACAGGCAGCTCAAGGCACCCGGCCCGTCCCCTGTGCCGAGTCCTCAGGGCTTGGGCCTTCAGTGTGGCACAGTCCCGCCTGATTCTGCTGCCAGGGCCCAGGTGGCAGCACGTGGCTGACAGTCCATGAAGAACCAGGCTGTGGTCACTCGCGCGTGGGTGCCCCCCCAGCCACAGGCCAGGCTGCGAGGGAGGGACAACTGCAGCTGGACTACTCAGTTCCTCCAGCCCCGATGGGAAGTCACTAAACCGACACACGTGTACTCAGGGAAGGTGGGAAGGTGGACGCTACCGGGTAGCAGAACCTAGTAAAGAAACCCTGAAAAGTCCCTCTATAAATAGGGATGGGCAGTTATTTGTCGCTGGGAACGCGTGGCTGTGAGCGGACACTCATCAGTTTGTAAACTGGCCTGGTAGGAAATGGCCTTGGACTGGGGACATGGCAGAGCGTTACGGTGTGAGGCCCAGGTAATGATTCCCAGCCTCCAAACAGGTGGAAAAAAAATGGACTCCGGACAAGGAAAGCCTGCTGCATGTGAGGGGACATTTCCGTGGCACGCAACAGGTCAGAAGAACCTGAGAAAGCCACGTTCTGCAGAACCAAGACACACAGACTACTCCCTACACACAAGATCAGCCGTGGCTGGAAAATCTAGGAGCGGCTGCAGCTTGTAACACAAAGGAGACCCCAAACTTACGCAGCAGGTAGGACAGCAGGAGCCCGGGAATGTAGCGGCCCAAGACAGCCAGGAAGGTGAGGACCCCACAGCTCAGCAGGCAGAACTGGGAAGGCAAGAAGTGGCATTAATTCCCACCGTGACGGGCCGGCTGGGGTGGGCTCCCAGGCCTCTGGGTCCCAAGTCAAGCAGGGACGGTCAGAATGACAGCTGTAACCCCTACATCCATCGTGTCCACGGGGAAAGGGGTCCATGCCTTCCACTCAGGCTCCTTCTCCATGGCTGACCCCAACAACCGTGCCTTTCATGCCGGGAAATTGGTATGAATTGGACAGAGCCAAAAATTCACTCCGAAAACAAGGGTTGGCAGTGGGGATTTTAAGGAAACAAAGACCAAAAACATAAAATCCAACGACATGTCACAGTTTAATATGACAGAAAGCACACAAGCAAGCTTTTTTTCCCATCTTAGGGCAAGAAAACAGCCAACTCTGTGAGGCCGGGCCAAGCTCTGCCTGGCACAGGGAAGGCCTGGGCTTCCCCCCAGCACCGCAACAAAACAAACGAACACCTAAGGCAAAGTCTGCTCTAAGCGACACGCACACCAGGGCTCTAATGGAAGCAGGCCCGGTTCCAGACTGTGATCTTGCCTCTCCCAAGTAAGGGTGTGCAGTCAAGGGTCTTCGGTCAGTCTAGTGTGCTGAACTGAGCGGCCAGAGTTTAGAGTGAAAGGGAGACTCTTACCTTGCCTGGGTTTTGCTTTTTGAAAAGCAAAAGATTCCTTATGAAAATGGTCCCACTAACCCAGGCTTCAGCTACGTGGTGGCAGAGCTCGGGCACGCTGAGCAACCGAGGGTGCACAAAGCCCCAGCTACGGGAGAGAGAAGGGGAGTCGTAAATGGCGGGGACTGGGGCCCGGGTCGCTGTGGGCTCGGGGGGGGCTTGGAGGTGAAGCGCGGCTCTCCGGCTCACCAGGCCGAGGCTGAGTCCAGGGACTAGGAGGGCAAGCGCGGTCCGGCAGCTCCCCATGAGCAGCAGCGTCTGCGTGTGCAGAGCCGCACAGCGCCTCGGCCTCCCTGCCTCGCACCACTGTGGTTCTCTGGGACTGCGCCAGAGGACAGGGAAGCGGCCCTGTGGAGCCACCTCGGGCGGGTAAAGCGCAGCCACGAACCTGCGCACAGCGGAGCCCACCGATGGGGTGGACGGACTGAGAGATGCAGGCAGGAGCGGTGCACACAGAGGAAGCTTTGGCATGGGCTTCTGTGTTTTCTGGCCAGGAACTTTAAATAGCCAGAGATCACAGAAAACACTAAGCCGCTGGTATAAAAGCCAGGAGGCAAAGGAAGTTTGCTGCCCGAGTTTTTACACGAGGGCCAAAGGACGCAGCTAATTCCCCGGCATGTCAGGCTCTGAAGCACTTGATACTTCTTTCACAGAAGCTTCTCACATAGGATCAGAAGACAGTGGCCATTTCCGCTCTCCCTCTGCTGCCTCAACTTTAGCATTTCTTAACGATGACTATTTGGGAGAGACCAGGTTCTCAGCTCAGGCTGTTACGTCCAGAGTGTGTGGTTAACAGCGCAGAACCAGAATATTGCAAGAAAATCAGAGCAACAAAAGGGATTTAATGAGCGTTCCATACCTCTCATTGTCTAATGCGTCGGGTCTTGGCACTACAATATTAAAACAAACATCAGCATTAGTTGGTAGGGAAAACTAAACATGAAAATGTTAGGCTGTTGGTCTGGCAGCTATGTTTTAATAGTTTGAGGAAAAGGAAACAGTAGTAGCCAATAAAAGGAGACACCACGTTATTTGCCACATTAGGCTGCTACAGACAGGGCAAAGGCTGTGCCTGCTCTTTTCTTGGGCGGGACTGGTTTCCACGCAGACTGCCAGAGCCCCTGTGTCACCTCCAAAAGCTGCGGGTACCAAGAAACCGGCCCATCCTGTCCCTCGGGCCTCTGTGCACCTGGCCGGGAGCCCACCGGCCCCAGGGCTGCCTGCTCCTGACATCTCCGCGGCCACAGCGGCAAGGTACCTGGAAGCCGTGTCCCTGGCAGGAGTGGCCCGGGCTATTCCCACTCGGACAGACACTGCTGTGGTCTCCTCCCAGGTCCTCCGGCGGCCCGCCTGTCCCTCCACGCAGCCCTGACGCTACCGAATCACCCTCAGCACACAGCTAACTTCACAGCCCCAGTAACCACCCTGCACCCATGGGAGCAAGTCTGACTTTGGAGCCTTACCTAACCTAATTCCACCAGACTTTCAGCTTATCTCCTAGACTCCCCACGCGAGCCGCTTTCTTAGCAGCACAAGTTTGCAGTGCAGAAGTGTCATGCTCATGTTGGGGAACTCGCAGGGCCCCCAGAATGGATGCAGCAGTGGATATAGTGCATCTTGGTCATTCTCAACCTTGCGGCCCACGAGCTCTCTATTCCCACCAAACACCCTGAGCGGATGAACTGCGGCCCACTGAGAGGCTGCGCCTCCCCGCCCATTCTGCTTCACTCAAGGCTTGTGCTTGTGCCAGGGCCAAACACATGAAAATGTCAGTCACAGAGGCACTGGGACAGCTCTGGTATTCTTCAGTAGCTGTCATTTAACTTTTGCTTATTTACGTGTATCTGAAAAAAGAAACCACACCTTAGGGTAACTTCCATACACATAATGCCTAGCTTAGTGCTTTGTAAATAAGCACTTTAAAAGAGAAAAAACAATTTTTTTTTTTTTTGTACTGGGAATCCAACTCGGGTCCCTGCGCTGCAAAGCAGGTGGTGGAACCACTGAACTAAGTCCCCAGCCCGGAAAAACATTTTAAAAATCTTGATCCATGTAGTTCAGGCTGGGTTTGACCTCATTACATAACCTAAGCTGGCCTCAAACTCACAGCAGTCCTCCTGCCTCAGCCTCCCAAGTGCTGGGATCACAGGCATGGGCCACCATAGCTGGCCAAAAATAAAAAAAACATTTTTAAAGAGAAGGTCTCACTATGTTGCCCAGGCTGGGCTCAAATCCACAATCCGCCAGCCTCAGCCTTCAACATAGCTGTGACTACCAGGATGTGCCACCATGCTCAAGATTTAAAAGAAATTCCTGCCGGGCGTGGTGGTGCACACCTATAATCCCAGCACTCGGAGGCTGAGGCAGGAGGATCGCTGTGAGTTCCAGACCAGCCTGGGCTACATAGTGAGTTCCAGGTCAGTCTCAACTACATAGTGAGATCCTGTCTCAAAAAATTTTTTAAAAAATTAAAAAAAGAAATTCTTGCAAGGTAAGCTGCTGTTGTGTCAGCGAAGAGGTGGCACTGTAGATGTGAACAAAACAAAAGGGGTTCGATTCCTCAGTGACTGCGGAAAGGCAGGTCCAACTCTGAGGAGCGCAGATGGGGAGCAGCCTCTCCAGCATCTCCTGGGCAAACAATTCAAATGCCAAGCACAGACTCCTGTCTCACACATTCCACAGAACCCCATAACTGAAAGTCAGTGACAGAAAAGGCCATTTCCAGTTCATTTTTTGAATGCAACCAAACTCACCTTTTATTTCGGGCCAGATTTTGTTCTTCCACTGATCGATGCAGACAATGATCATCAAGCCAAAGGCGAGAAGAAACATAAGGCGGAGGGAGGTCAGCGCAAAGAACCTGCAGAGAGCAGGGACAGCAGGTCACTGCTGGGTCGGCCGGTCACAGGAAGGACGGCTGCTCCACAGACCCTGGGCAAACAGGAGCAGCTTCGAGGTTTCGGGTCCGTGTCCCGACACCGAGCACTTAACACACCTTGGGCAGACCGTCCAAACTTCTGGACCTCAGCTATTCTACCTACCATCAGAGGAATCAAATAACCCAGAGGATCCTTGCTGCGGTGATTTCGGGGAGAGTCCCCAGTCCACCTGATGATGCCCCTTTCCACACATCAGACCCTACTGCAGGCACCAGGCGCACGCAGGCACTCGATAAAAGCATGGATACAATCAGGTGCTCTGTTACCGAGGAAGTGAAGGGCCTGATTAAGGCCACGAAGAGCTGGCACAAAAGCTACGACCGAGTCACTTCCTCCGAAGTGGCACCCGTGCTTCTCAAACCCTTCTAAAACACTGAAAGAGGACACACCCTTTGACTTGTGAGGCCAGCATGATTCAGATACGGAATCCAGACAGGAGAAACGACAGACCCACATCCTTCAGGAGTGCCGATGTATCAACTGCCCACAAAGGCGATGCCAGGCATGGTGTTGAAACCCAGGGTCCCAGCTACTAGCAAGGCTGAGGCAGGAGGATCACTTGAGCCCAGGGGTTAGAGGCCGGACTGTGCAAAGTAGTGAGACTGTCTCTTAACAGAATAAAACAAACACGATCCAAAAACATATGAAAAGAATTATATGGGGCCAGGGATTTAGCTCAGTGGCAACATTCCTGCCTCGCAAGTGCAAGGTCCTGAGTTCAATCCCCAGTATCAGGAAATAAAGAATTACACATCATGACCAAGTGAGATTTATACCAACATGGCAAGGGTATAAATGATGACCACCAGGCATCAAGCAGTAAATGGCCACGCTCAGGGGTGAAGTATTTATTCCCTCACACACACAAGGCTCTCGGTTCACGCCCCAGTGTCACACAATATATAAATAAAACCAGGGAAAGGCTATTTCCTGTTTGAAGAAATCAACCATAAAATGCCAGTTATGAATGAGCTACGACAGCACATCTGACGACAGTGAGAAACTGCTGTCGGCTTCTAGGTGTGACATCAGTGCAGTTACGTTTTCAGGGCCACTATCTTTTTGAGATGTGCCGAGAATATAAACAAATTCATAAATAAAATAAAGTACGGGATTTGCTTCAAGAGAACAGCTTGGCAAGGGACAGGCTGGGAAGTTACGAGACAAGACTGACCAGAAAGGTGTCCGCTGCGGAAGCCGGGGGCGGGACCTTTCATATCACCCTCCCACCTGTATGGTGTTTAAAATCTTTCACAGTAAAACAGCAACCAGTGCTCCCCTCCTTCTATGAAACCATCAGGGACCAGAACTGGCCACACAGACTTTAGTGGCCTACTGGGAAGTACAGAAATTCAAAGTAAGCATCTGCAAATATTTAGAGCAACCTGACCAAGTCATTTGGAATCTACTATATACAGGCGGCACTTTGTAATTTCTGATAACTCCTACTGTACAAAGGTACTGATGTGCAGCAGCCTGGGGGGAAATAAACCAGCACACCTTCCCCAAAGATGGCCTGGGAGACGCCGTTCACGGATCCACAGTGAAGCCAAAGAAAGGCATCAGGGCACACGGACAGGCAGGAAGGTGGAAATTTCAAAGTTCGGGGTCTGCCTCCCCAAAAAGCCGCCGTTCTCACGAGAGCTTGAACAGATGCGGCTCTTCTACAGCGAGACGTTAACACGCCTTTCGAGACTGTTGGGGACATTATAAGCAACGTGCTCGCTCACCTGTGACAGCCCTCTGAGCCTGGCCAAAGGGCCAAGAAGAAAACAGCACCGAGCGGCTGCCTGGCAGGGTCTGCTCAGTCTCACGGTGCATCACAGCAGCTGGTCAGAGGGTGAGGGTGAGCAGGGGTGGCTCGGCACCGCAGGGAGGATGGCCTGACACACAACAAACCGGGACTGTGCTTCTCACCGTACTCTGCACGGCAAGGAGATTGCACAAGGTCCTGGGTTCCATGCCTAGTACTGGAAAAAGAAATCTACCTGGTTACTTACCAATATACACGCATACATGCAGGCACTGGTAGTGAAACTTTAAATTTTGTCTCCAGACATTTTTGTGCTCTTGCTTTTTGTTTTTTTTTCTCGGTACCAGCGATCAAACTCAAGACCTGCGCTTGTCAGACAGGCGCAGAGCCACTGAGCTCCATGCCTGGCCTCTCGCTGTTCTGAGACAGAGCTCACTATGTGTTTCAGGCTGGCTTCAAACTCGTGACCTACGCGCCGGCCTCCGGAGCGAGCACAGGATAATTTATTTTTAATGAATATGAGTGCATGCTAACCATGTAATTTTTAAAAAGGCTTTAAATCCTATATATAAAAAAATAAGGGATGGAAGGCAATAAGGAGAATCAAGAATCCACTCATCAATGGCAACCCCATTCCGACTTTAACCAGTGCCCCACTTACAGGATACTGTAATCATATATGGGATTAAAGAATGAAAGCAGCTCAGCAGAAAGACTAAAGAGCTGCCCCAGGCCGTGAAGCTTCTCTACAAAGCCCTGCATCAACCCAGCAAATAAGCAAATTTAACAAGGCCGGGAGGACTCAGGGCCCAGCAGCAGGGGTGCAGCTGCTGTTCTCTGCAAGGGGGTTTCCCCTTCATGTCACCAGCACACAGAAGCTGTCTGAGTCCCCAAGAGGACAGCAATGGAACACTGCTGCTGTGTCTCGGACTATTTCTGTAGCCGTCAGAGCCCTCACCTTGCATTCTCAATAACCACAAGGTTGGCCTCGGCAGCTGCTTTGGAAGACTAAGACCCAGGGTGCGCCCAACAGTGCCCAGGGCGGGGCAGAAGACCCGCAGGCAAACGAGCAAGCACTGGAAAGAAGGGCACTGGGCAGGAGGAGAGTGAGCCGGCAGGACAGGTCCCAGAAATGACAAGCGGTTCAATAGAGTGAAAGAACAACAGGCAGAGATCCCACGGAGAGAGGCAGGAGTCGGGTGCAGGCCTCTCAGGGCAGAGGGGCTGGGTTCTGCCCTGCAGGGGAAGGAGAGCCAGGTGTGCAAAGCGGGCGGTCCCGTCAGGAGCATCTTCCTGAACTCCAGGAAGGCGGGCCTTGGGACGGCTGCACCTGCATGCAAGCCTGTGCCAGGCCACCCGAGGGGACAGTTGGGCAAGTGCTGCCAGTGGTACAAGCCAGCGGGAACGCATTAATCCTGGCCCACAAATCAAGGCTGAGCCTAAATGTGTCTCTTTTTTTTTTTTTTGCAACAGGGTCTCACTGTGTAGTCCAGGCTGGCCTCTAACTTGAAGACCCTGCTGCCTCAGTCTCCTGAGTGCTGGGATCACAGGCGTGTGCCACCATGCACAAACCACTGTATGAATTTCAGAGGAGCTTTTCTATGTGCTAGAACATAACATTTCTTAGGAAAACAGCTTCTTTCAAACAGATCAAAAACATGATAGAAAGATGGCCCAGAACTGGCCTTGGTCCCTCCAAGTTCCCAGGCCCTGTGTCACTACCGTCCCTCACCGCCATCAGCCGTGGAATATGGTGAGTGCTCGCCCTCTTTCAGGTCCTGCAAACAAGGAAGGCACAGGCTGAGCAGCATCTGGGGTACAGCGAAGCCAGGGAACGAGGGACACGGACACAGTGGGAGACAGGTGCCTGGGGACTGGGGTACAGCAGTGCAGAGGCCACAGGGAGAGCAGGCGGGCGTCCCAGGCAGACAGAGCAATGCAGAAGTCTGAGCCCACATGCAAACGCTTTCGCGACTCTCATCGCCCTGCCACAGTGGACGGGGCCTGGGTGTGCACTGCCGGCCCCTTCTTTCTTTGGGCGGCAGCGGGGGGGTCGTGTTTTGAGACAGGGTCTCACTATGTAGTTGAGACTGACCTGGAACTCACTATGTAGCCCAGGCTGGTCTCAAACTCACAGCGATCCTCCTGCCTCAGCCTCCTGAGTGCTGGGTTTACAGGCGTGCGCCACTACACCAAGCGGAGGCCCCTTCTTAATGCTATTTATTATCTCTAAAGACAAACCTGTTTATTAAAGAAAGTTTAAAATCTGTTAAGTCAAAGTTAAAGAAGTTAAAAAACACAATTATGGCATCACCATCTACAAAACAATCTTACCAATAATAACAACCCAGAGTCTGGATCCGACCAAGCCTCCAGTGCCCCCCACCAGAGCACAGGAAGACAGAACCAGGAGGGCCAGTGCGGCCACAGGATGCGGCCCAACCTGGTCTCCAGGCCTCTCCAGGACGGGGAAAAACACCAGGCACGTGTGGCTTTCATTTCAATCCTTTTTAAATGTTTCTTTTTACTAGCACATGTCCTAACACACCCCACCTTGGCTTTTCATGAGACAGGCTCTCACTGTATACCCCAGGCTGGCCTTGAACTCCCAACAATCTTCCTGCCTCAGCCTCCTGAGTGCTGAGGTTACAGGTGTGCCAGGCCCAGCTAACACCTCCACCACTGCAAAATATCTATCTCACGTTTCCTATTCTCTATCTTTCTTTAGCCTTTTTACTTATGCTTTCATTTGAACCTTAATCCAAACTGTTCTTTTTGTTTGTTTTTGTTTGGTTTTTTGAGACAGGGTCTCACTGTGTAGTTGAGACTGACCTGGAACTCACTATGTAGCCCAGGCTGGTCTCAAACTCACAGCAGTCCTCCTGCCTCAGCCTCCTGAGTGCTGAGGTTACAGGTGTGCCAGGCCCAGCTAACACCTCCACCACTGCAAAATATCTATCTCACGTTTCCTATTCTCTATCTTTCTTTAGCCTTTTTACTTATGCTTTCATTTGAACCTTAATCCAAACTGTTCTTTTTGTTTGTTTTTGTTTGTTTGGTTTTTTGAGACAGGGTCTCACTGTGTAGTTGAGACTGACCTGGAACTCACTATGTAGCCCAGGCTGGTCTCAAACTCACAGCAGTCCTCCTGCCTCAGCCTCCTGAGTGCTGGGATCACAGGCGTGCGCCCCCATGCCCGGCCCCCAAACTGTTTTTTAATAGCCTACAGGCCTGGCAGTGCTGTGTGATTCACCCTCTCACACTAGGTCAATGGTTTTTAGTATATTCATAGCTCTGCGCAATGATCACCAATATTTACTCTGCGTCACTTTCATTGTCCAAAAGAACTCCAGCCTGGAAAACACTAGCTTTTCTATACACGCCAGAGTATCACTTTTTAAAAACAAACAATAATTAGTAACTCACTGCCCTATTTGAATTTTTAAAATGTCTTGCTACAGTGGGCTGGGGATTTAGCTCATTAGTTCCACTGCTGCCTGCCTTGCAAGCACAAGGACTAAAGTTTGATCCCTGATACAAAAAAAAAAAAAAAAAAAAATTTCTTGCTACATATAAATGTATTTTTTTCTTCTTTCTGTAAACTGTCCCTTCACTTTATCAGGGGCTAAAATCCAACTGGCCTCTAAAGAAAACATCCCCGGCCAGGGATTTAGCTCAGTGGTTCTGCCGCCTGCTTCGCAAGCGTAAGGTCCTGAGTTCGATCCCCGGTACCAAAAAAATTCTTTAAAATAAATAAATAAATAAATAAGACGCCCCAAGGTAAAGAAGTAAAAAGACTGAAGATGTGTTATGCTCATGCACCGACTTCCTATGATGAACATAATCATGCAGTGCAAACATGTACTAAGAAAAATTTTTAATTTTTAAAAAATGAATAAATCACCCCTGGGTAGCAATCCTGGTGTCCGGAAAGATCCCGAGAAATGTTACGATCTCTTTGACGTGACTCAACTCGACCATCACTGTCAGTACAGGTCAAGTCAGAATCTCTTGTAGCTGGTGACCAAGGAAGATACCGTTTGTAGGCTCCTTCGTGTCTCAGGGGCGCTGGAGAAAAAAGCCTCCTCTCCTAGGGTACAGTGAGCCCGTGACTGTACGGCACTGAGACCGTCTAGCCGATGAGCCAGTCTGGTAAATTAAAAGGAAAAATTAACCCAACATCTATCACATAATTAGAATTGTTGCTCCCACAGGAGCAGAAATGAAACCAGACAACCTCCCTGTGTGCTAATGAAGAAGGCACCCGCCTTGCAGTCGGCAGGGCAGAGGGGCAAAGTTAAAACATCCAGGGCTCCCTGGCTCCCAGGAGCAGCAAGAAAACCCCAAAGATGGTGCCAGACACGCTCAGCTGATCTCATCTCAAGTTGGATGTGTAGATTTTCCCTTCCATTTCCTGTTCGCTGCTGCTTTTTATTCAGATTCTAACTTTTTTTATATATATTTATGTTTGTTTATTTGCAGTAACAAGCAAATTTTGAGGATCAAACACAGGAGTACCCTACCAGTGAGCTACATCCCCTCCCTCCTCTTTACTGTGACAGGGTTTAGATGGCTTCATGCTACTGAACTGAATGGCTGACACTTCAGTCATGTGCCACCACACCCGACCAGATTCTTTTAAAATCAGAATTCCTTACTCCCTTCTCAGGAAATTTCTTCTGGTTTTCTGAGACACGTCTCACAGTGTAGTTAGTTCAGGCTGGCTCTGAACTCACTGTGTAGGCCAGGCTGGCCGCAAACTCGAATGACCCTCCTGCGTGCTGGGATCATGGGCATGTGTCACCACACCCAGCTTATTTTTTGTTTTTAAGGGGAGAAGAGGAAACATCTTTTTTCTGTCATTTTTGAAAATAATAGATTCCATAACTTAAAGGAGGTTAACTCACACTAGTAACTGTACAGCGGACCCCAGTGGAGCTCTCCACAGGGAATCAGTCTGTGGACTGCGCTTGGTTTCCCTAATTCAAACACGTAGAATCACAGAATGTTAAGAACTTCCTAGGCAACTTAATGAGACTCTGGCTCAAAATAAAAGAAGAAACATTTTGATTTTTGGTTTTTTGAAACAGGGTCTCACTAAGTAATTGAGGCTGGCCTCGAACTCACTCTGTACCCCAGGATGGCCCAAGACTCATGGTGACCAACCCTTCTACCTCAGCCTCCTGAGTGCTGGGATTACAGGCATGTAAAAAATTTTCTAAAAAGACCTGGAGATGTGGTGAAGTGTAGGCCCTGAATTCAATCCCCAGTATTGGGGAGGGGTATAATCTATCAGAAGGGAAAATTTGATGTTTCTACTATCATCCTAGAGGGACTGACACATCAGTGACCAGAAGTAGTTCAGGCTGGAACACCTCTGCCATGGCTGCCACAATTCTTCGGAACCTGAGGGGTGGGGGGGCGAAAGCCTAGAAATGCTACAGGTAACAGGCTAAGAGGTCTGTCTCACTCGTCTATTTTAGATGAGAGAGCACATTCACAGGTGCAGCAAAGCCAAGACTGAAAGTATGGAACACTCAGAAAGCTACCTACCTCAATTCGATACTTCTTGATACTCCTATCCAATCATCTAATACCTCAAAGGACCAAAACATTTGTGAATGATGTACCATTCTTCATAACAAATAATGAAAGAAAAACTAAGTATGTCAGATTTGATTTTTCTGACCTGAGCTAATGATCCTCCTTCCTTTCTTCAAACATTTCAAATGTGTGAGAACTAAAGTCACTCTTCCGCATTCCAAAGTAAATGTCCACAGTCCTAGGAAGCTCCCTTCCCTAAAGGCTGCACATTCCAAAGCCAGGCGCCCACTGGAGCCTAGCAAGGCCTGTCCTCCCCATCGCCTGAGGTACACAGTGAGACTCTGTCTCAAAAAAAAAGCTATCAAATTTACTTATTTACTTTGCGGGACAGGGTCTCACTATGTACTTCAGCCAGGCCTTGAAGTCACTATCCATCCCAGGCTGGCAATGCTCCTCCTGCCTCAGCCTCCTGGAGTGCTGGGATTACAGGTGTGCACCACCATCCTTGGCTCTCACTATCAAATTTACAGTCCTTCCCAGTCAGATCAGATCCTGCTCTCCAGACCTTGAGCCCACATTCAGCAAACTTTAGCGAGGACCAATTTTCTGTCCAGGAGATCCAAACCCACGTGGGAAAGAGTTGCGACTGGGTAAACATTCCCAAATGTGATGCTACATCTATCAAAGAGCAGCCCAGGAAGCTGGTACCTGGAGTCAAGGAAGGATTACCAAAAACAGGTAATGATGGTTATGCTTGGTGGCGCAGGCCTGTGATCCTAGCACTCGGGAGGCTGACGCAGGAGGACTGCCAAGAATTTGTTTTGTTTTTGGTTCCGGGGATCGAACTCAGGCCTTTGAGCTCCCAAGGCAGGCAGCAGAACCACTGAGCCAAATCTCCAGCCCCAAATGACAGAGACAGGGATACTCTGTCTCAAACAGCAACAAGAGAGTTTGCTAAGGAGTCTGGAAGCAGGACTACCAGAGACTGCTGTGACACCTTTAACTTGGGTTCCCTTCAAACTGGGAGAGGACTGACCTCATAACTGAACAATGTCTTCTGGGCACTGAACTTGGGGTTATTTGTTCTGCTCCAGTTCACTGGAAGTATTTTCAGACAAAGGGTAATATTTCAAATTTAAAACCAAGAACTTCAAGAAAGCCATTTTTACCAGACAATGCTGAAAATCACATACTTTGTAGTCTGATGCTTTTCCAGATTAGTCTTGTTTCGATCAGCTGTGGAAGCCTCCTACCTGTCGTCTCCTTGGCATTTGAGCAATACTTCCCGGTCACTAACAGACAGCAGCTACGCCTGGTGGATTACAGGAAGCCCTAAGTCCACTGCGGTGATGAGGAGCAGCAGTGACACTCAGACACCTCAGACATTGCTAGCGCAAGGCGTCCAGCTCTGGAAACTCTCACAGCTTCAATGTCGTGGCTGTAAACAGCGTCTGAGGATCCCTCATCTAATTCTTGGAACAGGGAGATGCAATTACAGGCGGCTCTGGAAACGGATGAAATCCCCCAAACAGTTTCCTAACTGTCCTTTAAAAGCGAATACTTCTCTCTCAAATTGCAGCTTGGCAGGCTTGCACTGACGCTCGGGGTTCCCCCTTCCCTGGATGGACGGGGTGCGGGTATTTAGGATGCTAATTCGCGCTAATCGACCTAGCTTGTTTTCTCATCACACCTGCGGGTGCCTGGACCAGGCCTCGAGCCTCTCCTCCCACTGTCACTACGGAGATCTCGGATCAGTCACCGATTCAACGGGGGTAGGGGACAAGGGAGGTGACGGCCTTAGAGGGAAACAGCTTCCCCTGGCTTACGAGGGGCGTCCTCGTGCCAGATGTTCCCAGAGGCCCCAGCCAGATGTGCGGGCGCAAGGAGAGCTGGGCGCGGCTGGGGCCTTGGGAAGAACGGGGTGCCACAGCTGGAGGTGGGATGGGGCTGAAGGATCGCGGGAAGAAGCAAGCCAGCAAGGCGAGAGGCAGGGCCCGGGAAGCTGACGGCGCGCTCCGGATCCGGTTATCTCACCAGAAAGCCGCGTTCAGCCCCAGGCACCACAGGGCGCTCCGGGCCGGTCGCTCCCACACCAGGGCCGCCTGCAACAGGCTCAGCAGCGGCTCGTACGGCCCCAGCACCTGAACCAGGGCCCGCT